GGAGTGGTTTTTTCGATTGTGAGTATTTTTTATGGTATAAGCCCGCGAAATGAGTTCACGGATCACCTGATGGTAAGCAATCGGTGTCGCCCATGGACGCCTGGAACACCAGAAGCGTTACAAGCGCGTCACCGGTTTTTACGGATTAGGAATTTGAGAGATTAGGAAGGGGCGGGGAATTTTAGGCCTCCGGTAACCACACTCGCGACGTAACACAACGCAAGCGTTTTTTCACGTCGGTTTTTTTTAGGCCGTGATATATCACTCCGGTCGAGTGCTTCGGCACGAATGGGCCCGGCATTCTCATACGTTCATGTAGTTTTAACAACGTAAATGTTTAGTATACCTTTTAATTACGCATTACTACAACATTACATTACTTACTATAGTTGTTTTAAATTCATTGTCTTTCGTTGCTTATTATGAAGATTCAAAGCCTGATTATATCCTAAAATATAAGCAGTTTTTAATACAGACTACACCTTTTCCTTATGCATTCATGTCTGCTGTGAATTTAGGAACTAAAACCTATTATTTTAAGTCAATTCGTGCCTAACCGGCATGACGACCTCTAGACTAACGAGGATATTAATAGACGTCATACAATGCTACAAAATGCACAATACTACAAAAAGGGGAACCTAATAATGTCGAATGAAACATATTGTAACTACTTTGATCTCTTTCCTGCATTATTCGCAGAAATAAATATCATTTCATTTCATTTTATAATGAGCTTTAAAATAACATGCATAGAACTTGAAATTGTCAACCGAAAGTTTATATTCACTTTTTAGCGTTTGTCTGGCTTTCCATCGATTGTTGTGCGGTTAAAGTTGTAGTGTAAAAGTAAGGCGCGTCCCAACCAACCGCGGATCGCTATTACGGCCCGTTCCATATAATCTCACTAATGACACGCATTCACTTTGAACAAAAAGATTTACACAGGGAACCGCTTTGTTTAATGTTTGTAAAGTTACTCAATTACTGGGCGCCAAGTATTTACTTTGTCAGTTGGTGCCTTCGAGTTACATTGTAAGGGTATTTGCAAATGACTGACATTAAAATGTGCACGACTCATTATACATTGTTCTCAAGTGTTCGCCTGATAAAACTGAGGCCAGGGTCCTTAGACAAAGTAACATCGCTTAATAGCGAAACGAAAAGTAAATTCGCCATCGTCTCTGAGATAACGATAAACATTTCCTAGCCAATGTAACACTATGGTCGTGATCGTTGTGTCGAATTCTTTATTCGGCAAAAAACAAAAATATTGGTTATGGTATCGAAAATCCAGCTGTCAGTGACAGTCAAAAAGTTCAAATCGGATCAAACCCGCGAGATATTGATGTTTTAAAATTTTATTAATAAGAAAGTGAGTGTTGCGTTTAAATTGTTTTTAAGTTAAATATAAACGATAATTTTACAGTCGTAAGTGAATAGAGTGTTATTAGTTTTAGATCGTTTCCAAAACTTAATGATAATCAAAATAGACTCATTTTTATAAGTGACTGGTTCAAACGATGATGGATCTCTCTCTATTTCTTATCTATTTTAATATTTAGTGATAAAACATTGAATCAAGAGTGTGAGCAAGTTCTGAACAATTCGCAACGCTGCTCGAGTATATGGAAACGTAAGTAAATCTAAGTTTCATTCATGAGTATGTAATGTAAACAATGACGCGATCTTAACAATGAAGTACCTATATTGAACCGTCGCTGTTTTAACCGTTTTTGGCGCTTCTCCCAGGCGGTCTCATTGTGTGCAGCCCACAATAAACTCAGAGAATGCATATTTTATTCTATTTGATCTGTATTAGTGTATAGCCTCTAACACAAAATAAATACTAATAGGATCAATCAATGTCAAAAATCTGCTGCCGAATGAAATTCGGCCATATTGTTTCAATAACTACAACCTTTTAGCATTCGTTTCGTTATCGTTTTTGGCGATCACGATCGAGGCGTTGGCGAACACTGAAAGGTCTGCTTGTCTACGCATTCAGTCTCACTAAATAGTAGACGATTATAATTTTAATAGTTTTCAGTAACGCCTTGAAACTGTTGAAACACAAAGATGTACTGATTTCTGTAATTCCAAGGTGTTGCTTTTAATTTGTTTGATTAATCACTATTATGCTCTAAAAACCTCATTTAGTCGTGCAGTCAAGTTTTTTAATTTTTTAATTCCATGAGCAATGTAAATGGTGAAAATAGAACGTATTCCTAACACCTTTTTTTAAACAAGAGAAACTGTCGTCGACTTATATTTTTCTCATTACATTAACTGTAAGCCTATAGGAATCCAGTTTCAGTAGGTCATGCTCCGTCCACTGCAGCTTGCAGCATAACGGTATCAACTATACTACAGTAGTTATACCACACCTGTGTTCCACTTACGAAACCAAAGCCTCTCAGTACACTTCACGACTCACCATGTTCAGAAAACTGTGTCTAATTATAGGCAGTAGTAATTTTAAGTTTTAAATATAACGTTGGTACCGTTAATCACTCACCAGAACGACAGTCAGAATTAGGGGAATAAAGTTACGTATGAAAGGTAAAAATGTATAGTAACCAAAAATGGTAGTGTCATATTTCCTATTGTTGTTTACTCGGTGTTTTGTAAAAGTGATTTAACCGTTAACGAAACCTCAGAGCAGGACAATTCCAGACAAAAAAATAACGTGGAATTTGAATACAAAGGGCCGAATGTGGATTGTGGAATACATTTTAGCCAAAATGACATCAAAACCAGATATGAGGAAGCATCAAATTATTAAAGCAGTCATTCAGTCAGTCTGCTTTAGTTGAGATTCCCAGCATAGTCCAGATATTTCAGAAAGAAAAGTGTAGACAGTGTGCTTTTACTAGATATTTTAGTAAAAAACAATAGGTACATTACACTATTTGACGGTTTGAAGAAAATATGTACATTCCCGCGTGCATTGTTTGAATATTGTTAATCGATTTTAGATATCTGAAAATAGAACGGAGTGGAAGCCATATGGTTGGTTCTCTGACTATAAATATTACTTGAGTACTAAATGTTTCCTATATTTTATTCATGTTTTGTATTAACGTGTTATAGATTTCGAAACTCCACTTGAAGGCTGTCTTGAGCCTTTTCTCAAGTCTTCAGTTCTCATATCCGTTCAGTTCAGTTCTAATCAGTGCTGGGTGACTTGTATGCCTGGCTTACACTGAGTGGGTGACCCTTTTAGCATAGGCATGTTGTCAGCGTCTCTCTTTTAATTCTTCTGTTTTAATTTTTCAACTCAATGTTTTTATTACTTCCACTGTCACAACTTTATTGTCTTTTTATATTTTATTTATGCTGCATCGTGCCTGGTGCTGAATAAATGTTTTTTCTTTCTTTCATAAATTTTATTTATTTATTTTCAGCCATGATCGTCCCTCTGTTGGGCAAGGGCCTCCCTACCCTCCTTCCACTGCTCTCTTTGTAAAGCTTTTTGCGGCCAATCTCATAAAGTTTAATCCCAAAAATATTTTTTTATTGTCCTACCTCTTTCATCTGCCCTCCACGTAATGACGATTTTCTTAATTAGAACCTTTGTTAAAGTCACCATACTTTAATTGTTCTCGAAGAACAAAGGAGTCTCAAGATTAAGAGTAGTCATCTACCACAATTTGAGCTTAGCATAGGTATTTGGCTTACCTTAGTATGGTTGCCCATTGAGCAATAATGAATCTATATAGATGTATTCAATTTTATTTATATGTATAGATTACATTTACATGTATAGATTTATATGTATAGATTACATATAAATAAAATTGGATCGCTGTTTGTAAATATTAAAATAACCGCTTTTTACTACAAGCAAACGATACCCATACTAAAATATATTTTTTTACAATTTTTTTCTGTCTATCTGTTTGTACTGGCTAATCTCTGGAATGGCTGGACCGATTTTGTCAGGGCTTTTATTAACTTATATATGTTACTTTTACTATGGAAAATTGAAATAAAAAAAGTTATTTCCTAAAATTAATATTGTACGCGAGTCGCTGGTAACAGTAAAAAATAACTTTTTTAATCTGTTGACCACTTAAGACAATCAAACCGTCTGAACTTGATTATTCGATTACTTAAGATGTCGTGCATCAACCAGCGAACTTTGCTTCTTGACTAAAACAAAGCAAGTGGAAGACTTTTATCTTGCAAAAGGTTTTTAAAGTCCTATTGGGTCGTAATTAATGTATCATTTCAATGAAGATGGCTTACGCTACAATACTCAAACGTTATTCAATTTTAAGTCACGCTTAAGTATAGTTCTGAGGCCTTAGTACGAGTTTGTTTTACGTTTAAAGTATTCGAAACGACGTACGTGTTCGGCGCTCTGATTGGCCGGCACCAATGAAGCAACCAATCACAGCGCCGAACGCGCACTCGTTACGATTAGTTTAAACGTAAAACAAACTTATACTAAGGCCTCTGGCTAGTTGTAGGTTAATTTACAGTTCAAATAAGACTAGTTACTGTGAGTAATTCATTAACACGGTATGTATTAACCCAGATTTGTAAAATTAACTGTCAAAAGGTTAATTGTTGACAACCGAGAGATATTCAAACGAGATTAACGCCCAAATACTGAAAGGTTATTCAATTTTATGTTGTACGTAAATATCGTGCTATCTCTGTCATTTTACAAACAGTTTGTAGTGACAGAACTATACTTAAGCAAGACTTGAAAATTGAGTAGTGTTCGAGTATTTCAACTTCCCGTTGTCACGCCATAACTTGAGAACGGCTAGATCGATTTGGCTGATTTTTTTTGTTGTATTTGTTATTATCAGGAGAAGGTTCTAATGACAGAAAAATGTCCTGTAAATCCTACGGGAATGGGAGAAACGGGATTGCGCGTTCGAAGTCGCGGGCCGAAGCTAACTTAATAAAAAATTCAATTCTTTCGAACCTTCCCATTATTTTAAAGTAGTCTTTCAAAAACTAACATCATCTTTATAATTTTTCAGAGAAATACGACCTGGTGGGGAGGTTATTGAAGCCGGGTGAGGAACCTATAAACTATTCAGATGAAGAACCTGATGAGACTGACACCTCGACGCCTACACCTGTCGAAGATAAGAAGGATCAATAGAAACTGGTACAATATACTCGAACTAAATTGTTTGGAACTGCAGTCAAATATTGGTGAGGATTACTGCAAGATATGTGTATTTAAACAAGGAATTAAAACTAGAACATAGTTAAAAATATGTGATTGTTCTATATAATTGTTCTGAATATGATTGTTCTGAATTATCGTAATTGGCATTGTAGTAAAACTTATATAAAATACAAGTTAAGTGTTTGTAAACATCACATTAAACAATACTCATGTTAACATCAATTGTATTATAAGTAGAATTTACTTATAATATTGTTAACAATAGTCAAATAAGTCTTTAGTCAAAGTCAGTTCCGATTTATGCATCATATTGATGCTGCGTCCAAAATGTATACAAAATAATCCCGTGTCTAAACATGCATATCCTTCAATAATCCTGTTGTAAATTATAATGTAATGTTGTATAAATTTTTAATTTGCTTAATATTTGAATGCTAACAAACAATTTAGACAACAATGAAGCTGCGATTTTAGTTCTTTAATGTAAATTGAAGTGACCGCATATGTAATATTTATTTATGCTTAGTGATGATACACTGTGATCGTATTGACTCCGTATTTATTTACTTAATTTTTCTCTTTTATTGAATGTAAAGAATTAAAAATCGTGGCTTCGATCACAAATCAAACGCTCCGAGGGGAATGAGTACGTGATTTTCCTGTATATATATGAAATCTATTGTATCATTTTCACTGTTTTAACTGTTGCTTATTGCGGATTTTTGAATATATTATTATATATTTACAGTTTCACGAATTGAAAGACTGAGTGATGGCATATTAATTTAAATGAATGATGTAAAGAGAATCTAATCATTTATTGCACATTCCCAACATTATTTGGACATTAAAATCGTTTTGTTTTGTGCCAACCGATGTTGAAGTCTGCGCGAACGCGGATATGCCATTAGTATTTAAATTAATATTATTGTCGCGGCAATATTATGTGCGGCGACAATGAATTTGTTTTACGAGTTGATAAAATTGTTGCATGTCAATCATAAATTTTACAACCAAGAGGTGCAAGTCAGTATGAAGGCACCTTGCAAGCACTTCCACGCCAGAACTGCAACCATCGTGGAACATGAAATTGGGATGTAAATAAATCGACTTACAACAAAAATTCTAAATTTTAATTAACGTTTTGTCCTAATTTATTCTCTTATGATTATCTGTATTGATTGTGCATTTATATTTCTTGTAATGGGCGTGTTGTTGACTGTCCTACGACTAATCAACGCCGGCGAGGCAATGTTAATTATTTTAAAATATCTGTCAGAAATACTGGCTTTGTTTTAAATTATTCTTATTTTGTAATGCATTGGCCTGACTAGCGTTCAATAGTTTTCGGAGAATCACAATAACTTTGGCTACAACGACGACTGCGATCCTTACTGGACCCCACCTGATATTCGGTACTTATTAGTGACACGTTATATGTGTAGCAAGCGATGAAAAAAATACAAAAAATAAATAAAGAAATGTGCATAATACGTGTAATTAAGGATCTAAATAAATGGAATACTTATTTGTGGTGAAATGACGTGTGCGTGTGGTTATTAGTTCGTTCCTTTAGTGTCGACGGCGATGCGATATTTTGGGCAACATCATTTCATTTTTGATCTATCATTTTCTATTTTAAATATATAAATTTCTCTTCTATTCAAGTACAAATTATATTATGATTTGCCTCAAATATCCTTTTCGCTCATAAATTATTTTTTGTTGTAATCATACTTGTTCATTGTTTTTTATTAGTTTGTTTTAGTTTTTTGTAAGAACATTGGTGTATGAACTATATTGGAATGGGATTATGGTAATTATTGTTATAGCTGTATGTTTAAAAATGCTTTGGATTATGTAAATTAGTAATTGGATGTAAAGTGAGGCTTATATTGCTTTGCCAAAGATATTTAGATACGTCATTAACAAGCTTTCATTATTAACACGTTGGTATATTTTCTTTTGTAATTAGCAATTACACAAGAATGAGGATTTTGATTTTGCATTTCCGAGATAGCGCTAGTGAAGAATAAGGTCCTATTAGTCCAATCAGCTTAACTGTTATAAGTTGACTTGTTGCAAATATTCTACTGGATGATCGAGCCAAAGTTTCACTAGCGCCCTCCAGGAGCGTGAAAATTATCTTTAAAATTAATGTAGTTTTAAAACACACAGCACGCGTCAGTAACGCTTAGAGCTGTGCTAATCATTGCGGATTAACTTAAAAATAACATTGTCAATTATTCCAAAGCATTTCTAAAAAACATTCGTTTTAAAATATGCAGTAGTATAATGAAACTTTTGCTACTTAAATCCGAACAAGCTTTATCTGTTTTGTTAAGCCTTCATTTGTATTGGAAGCTTTATGTACTGAGAATGGATATGAGATTGCATTTAAAATGTTATGACTATATGGAGAAATATATTTGTATAAGGGACTGTTGGTAAATCTTTTAATAAATGTATATTTTTGTAAAAAAATTCGTCGGTATAGACTTGTGAGAGAACTAATTCAATGAATGAAATAGCACCGAGCACACAAAAGTGCCATCTATATTTATTAAAGCATTATGTTGTACTGTATTAAAATAGTTATTATTTGGTTTATGAACAGTCTCATAGGGTTAGCGTCTAAATTACGAACTGCCTTTAGGCCTAATAAGACTTGGGACGTTGCTATCATCGTTTACACTGTATTGCATACTATGATCTCATGAAGACCGCCTTCAATTGCTCGACCCGTAGAAGTTGATAGCAACGTTTCAAATAAATACGTCTGTAGGCCTTAATATAAGAATTGTGAACATGTCTATAACAAATGAATTTGGGGAATCCGTCGTTTTAAATTTGATCCCAAATGTTTGTATAAATATTATATAGATATCGGAACTATATTGCAAGATGTAAAGGTATAAAGTATCGTTTCGTGTATAGTTTTGAAATGTTTGTGTCGGTGGAAGTTATTCCTATATCGTGTACTGTAAAATGTGGAGTTTATTGGTATATAGCACCGCAAGATGTTACTAATTACTAAAATACCTAAAATGTTTATTTTAACATTGTCACATGAATTTAATTAAAGCGTTTTACATATTTTTTTGTTTTATTAACTATTTTGTAAGTGTTACCTAGTCTACATTTTTGCATGGTATGTTTCAACAGCCCCCACTACACTGAGTGTAATAATCTCGTAAAGTTAAAAAGTTGGTATTGTAACTTTCGTGGGACATACTAAATAAATTATTATGTTTTCAGCTAACTCGCGTAATAATTTGACGAGGAACTCGACTAGTTTCAAGCCATGCTAGCTAGCATGGCTCGTATTCATGAGCAGCTTTTCGCGACCCGCGATGTGGCGACTGTCGCGTGTAGTAGCAGCGTGACAGTCGCCACGTCGCGGGTCGCCAATTTATGAAAAAAGTTGTATCATTTCGTTTTAAAAATATTGAAATCAATACTGCATTCACCTTGTGCTCTCTGCCTGTGTGGGAAATATAAGTCGTGATATTACGACCAAAATCAAAAAGGTATCGATTAATACCAGTTAAAAGGGACACGATCCGTCTACCCACTAGATTGCTGATGAGGTGGACAGGTAAGCGTCCCTACTACTTTTCCAAACACTGAATAAAAATATATTTTTCAAGTTCAATATACCTAGGTATTGTTGCAGCAAAAGTACATCATATTTGTTTCGAAGCATTAGGACTTCATAACATAGTAAGAGGTGTATATAAAAGTGGGTAACAAATATAAAAATAATATGTAAAAGAATTTCAACGGGGACTGCCTTTTTTGTTTGCTCACTAGATGGCACTAGTCACAAGAGATCAGTTTATCAATACGTCCATGGTTTATATAAACTGATCTCTTGTGATTGGATATCCAATCACAGCTGTCATAGATTCAACGTCCAATGATGTGACACTTGCTATTCCCTATTCGACGAGGCGATTATTCCATCAGGCGAGCTACTTACGAGGGAGACGACATCCGAGTCCTATATACTGGCTAGAACCAACGCCCCCTGCTGGCTCTATAGCCTTTTAGGTTTTAAGGTGCTCATATAAACTAGCGAATTCTTCCAAGATCTGGTGCCTTCCTTCCAAGACTTGAGCTTGAGCATCGGAAGCAGTTTGTTCTAGTACCTAATTTTCTATTTTTTTGCTGTTCAACCAACCATTATTTTTATCATCATGACCTGATAATCATAAAAACGTCTATTAGATTGAACATCTTGGCTGTGGCTAGCCAATAACCCAAAAATTTGATAATGGGTTAAAAGAGAGAACTGATCATTATAAAATTACGGAAGAATGACAATACAGCAAAGGTGACATTTCTTCATGAACCGATTCTTGCAGATTTAAATTATTTTATTTGACTCTCCAAATAGCTAATTTATTCGATATTGTGATATCTGTTACTAATATATTATCTAATCATCAAAAAAGTCACGAGTTTAGACTCGTGCGGTTTCCTCATCAGTGCAGTAAATAAGTAGGTATTTTCAAGTTTATGCATTTGTTACCAAGTCTTATTATTTAAATTGTGTTATGTAGTTTTGATTCAAGGACGCAATGCAAGACACTTAGTAAAAAACTTCAAAAAATGCAAGTTTTTATGATTGTTCTAAAATGAACCTTAGTAACATTAGCTAGAGTTGATGTTTGCTTGATGAAAAACATATATTCTATAGATTTATTTAACAACGAATGACGTTCTCCTCAGTCACTGAGATGGCGTACGTGGTTAACCGTACGCATAGTAATTTTTCGTTGATCATCATCATTTTTGTGGTGCTTTTTAACTACCTATTACTACTACACTTCTCAGCCTACAGACGTAAATATACAAAAAGGAAGGGAATAGTTTATTTAGGCGAATAGAAACAACTTTTTATAATGATCACATAATTATATTATAAAATGATTTAATTACAATAAACAGAATAAGTATCATAATGTACCTACACTACAAACAACTTATGTTACGCAGAAGCGGACAGGACGTACTCCTCTCATATTTACATTTTGTACATTGAGCGCTCGTTTCGGTCATCGTAATACTTAATTTACGTCCCTCGCGTCGCTAACGACAACTCGATCAATAAATAGGGCGGGGAGGGGACGAGCGAGGGGGAGGGGTTACACTCGTGCGGCGCGGCCGCTAGCCTATATGTACAGGGCCGCGCGCCTCACTATGTACACTACAACTGCTCCACGAACTTCGTGAGCTGGTCCTGCGGCGTCATCGGCGGCAACTGCTCCTCCGGCGGCGCCAGCGGAGCCACCGGCGCCGGCGACTGGCGCAGCAGGAGCAGCTCGCTCGGCGTGGGCGGCCGCGGGGACGGCGTGGCCTCGGCGGAGACCGCGTGGCGCCCACGCCCACGCCGCCGCCGCCGCCGAAGGCGTACCGCGCGCCCACCGCGCTCATGCGCGCGCCCACGCCCGCCACGCCGCCCGCGCCGCCGTAGGCCCCGCGCATGGCCATCATGTTGCCGCCGACGCCGCCGACCCCGGCGACGCCGCCGACGCCCCCCTTGAACCAGCCGGCGCCGCCATGCGCCATGCCCCCCGCGACCCCGACCCCAGCTCCGCCGGCGCCGACACCACTCAAACCGACTCCTGACACACCGCCGACGCCAGTCACTCCCCCAACCTGATACAACGTTTCATTTTTATTAATACTTGGAAAATACTAAATCATCAAAGTTTATATAGAATATCAAGTAACATAAACAATTAGAAGTTAATAAATTCTTCCAAATCGATCATTCGGTTTTAGGTCTGAAATGTCTACAAGACATACATACTCAAAACTTAATTCTATTCAATAAAGTGACAGTATTATAAAAATGTCGAATCAATTTAATTCAGGGTTTCATTAATTTATTTGCCTAACAATTTTGTCGAAGTCATTAGCCCTACTCTGTTGGCTCAGGTTTCCAATAAGAGATTGATTAGTGCTAGGTAGTGCTCAGAAACTGCACCTTTCCATCTTCTTTCCGTTTTCATCGGGTAGATTGATAAAACTAATATTCACATTTTGATCCTTATCCATTCTTTCGTTTAGGTCGTGGCAAAGTAGTCTACGCTTTTACTTTTCCAATGGTATTAGGAAAGATCATAAAATAAAGTCTTCCATTTTGGCATTTTAGAACCTTTCTCGTTGTATTTCTTTCAACTATGAGGAGCTTCATTTTCTCTTTTGATGCATATGCAAGATGGTTCTTTCCACCGGTTTTATTTCATAAAATAAAATTAAAAACAGACGAAAATTAAATCGTGTCTCGCGTAGACCCACGTACCGTATGCGCGGGTTAAGCCTCCCATTAGGTTTAACCCAACATTTCGGTCCTAAGACTACATCCCCTTGTTTTAGTCCAGTTATCACCATGACTAGTGGACTCAAGCTCCTGGAAGTTTCGTATTATATCGTCATATAGTATCGTCATTCCATTTTCCCTTGTGTCTTTTGGGGTTGGAATGGAACTACTAACGAAATTGTCTTTTTACTGAATCTAATTAAAAGTCTTGAGTACCTATACCAATAGACCAATTAAACATTTATGATGTTATACACTAACATTGGAATTTCTTCTTTTTTTAGTTTCATATAAGAAGCTATAGATAAAATGTGTGTGTATGTACCTGAGACTGCTGCGGAATCATCTGATGCATCTGCTGCAACCGTTGCTGTTGCTGCGGCTGCATCATGTGCTGTAGCTGTGGTTGTTGCTGTGGCAGGCCCACGCCGCCCACGCCTCCCACGCCTCCCACGCCGCCCACGCCACAGACACCACCCACACCACTTACACCTCCGACCCCACCTACAGGGCCGACCCCCCCAACACCGCCTGCCGCCTGTTGTTGATTTTGGGCATTCTGGAATATCAAACGAAATGTCATCGTCTAGAACAAGGGTTTTTAGAGAACTACTTAGTTATAATAGAAGAAGAATCAGTATGAACTGTAACTGCGCGACAGTCACCATGTTGTGTGTCGCGGAATGCTGTTCTCGAATATGAGTCTCTAGACTAGTATGAAACTAGTCAAGTTCCTCGTCCAATAGTTAGTGAGTGGCCATGTAATCCGTTAACACGATTCGTACTGCAAGGCAGTGGAGGACAGTGAGAACCTAAATAACCAATTTAATTTTTTTTAAAGGTATTGTTGTCCTTCACTAGGATTTTCTCCTGTGTCGTGGGTGCGTTTACAAACATAAGAGTTCACATACACATGACACCTAGAGCAGAAACAAGAATCTGTGGATTACACAAAGAATTGGGAATCGAACCCGTGACACGTTGCGCGGCAGCTAGTTGCCCAGTCACCGCACCAACCGTGGCGACAATTTTGGTTAACGTGACTAACTTAGCCACTGATGAGATAGAAAGATGATATCAATGGGGTTGTGTCCTAGTAAGACAAAGTGGAAATGATTAAAGGAGATTTACACCAAACTGATTGAATAAAGCTTTAGATGATATAACCAATAGGAAAAATAAAAAAAACAACATTATACTGACCATGAGGAAGACAGAAAAAAATGCAGTAATTACCTGTCTTTGTTTGATGAAGGCGGCCATGAGGGGTGGGTTGGACTTGAGAATCTGCAGTATCTCTTGTTGCTGGTTGTGGCTGGTCGGCGACCTCAAGGTAGCCATTAACTGTTGTAATGCCTTCTGATGAACTTGCGGTTGACTTGCTTGCTGAGTGGGCGCCGGCGCCCTTTGCTGTAACAGACAATACCGGTGAGCTTCTAGAAACATTATATTTACGACATGTGGATGTCGATACCACGTCTGAACTTGCCACCTCAGGTTAAGTCTGATGTGGCTTCAAACAATAATTAAAGCTTTTTACTCATGATTTTGTATTAATTTTATTACTGCTATATCTTTTTATATCTTCCAGATAATTTTGTCCAGACATTATAATTGTTAACAAAATGTTATTGATATGTTTATTACCTAGTCATAAATGATTATACATTCAATTTGTACCTTTAGGTGAATATTACATTTCATTCGCACTATGTAGCAACATGAGATATTTTAACAAACCCTATTTACAGTTCCGATAACCTAT